CTGAGCCCCCCAAACCCTCCTTTGCCAACCCCCCAGAGCAGAGACAGTGCCTGTCCACCGCACCCCATCCCTTCCATGGGGGCTTCCACAGGGACATAGCACAAAGGACCTCTGTCGGCATCCCTGCTCCTCCCCTGACACTGGGAACAGCCAAAAACGCTGTGTGGGCCTGTGCTCCATCGCCCCCTGCTGGCAGGGTCAAAGCCCAGGCCTCCACCTGTCTCCTGGTCTTTGCTGTCCCTGGTGTGGGCATCTCGAAAGCCCACGATCAGTGGGACCTCTGGGTGGCTTCCCCTGGCTTAGGCTCGGATGGAAACACCTCTGTTTGCATCTGTGCTGCATCACCAAGGGGGCACTCATCAGCCAGTGTGACTGTGAGGCTGGCACGGAGGCGGCACTGCCACGTCTCTCTGGCCCTAGGTGCCTCCCTTGGGAATTCCAGGCCAGGTCTATTGGCCCCAGGGGAATGTTCTGTCCCCGACAGATGTGGCTGGGCCTATCACCTCGGCAGATGCTGGCTGGGTCACCAAGGACAAGCAGGGCTGGATGATGCCCCACAGCAGGGTTGCTGAGTTTTCCTCTTGAGATAGACCACATAGTCTGTGGAGCCTAAAGTTTTTGTTTTATTTTTTTCTTGTGGTGCTGAGAATGGAACCCAGGGCCTTGTGCACGCTGGCAAGCGCTCTAACCACAGAGCCACACCCTGGCCTTTAACATTTATTTTTGAGATAGAATCTCACTAAGCCCCCGGGCTGGCTTCAAACTCAAGATTCTCCTGCCTCAGCCTCTTGAGTAGCTGGAATTCTAGGCATGCTTGGATCTTTATAGAAAAAGCTCACATAGGGCCAGGGATGTAGCTTAGCAACTCAGTGCCTGCCTGGGAAGTGTGAGGTCCTGAGGTCAATCCCCAGTACCAAAAGAAGACGGGGGGAGGCAGAGAGAGAGAGAGAGAGAGAGAGAGAGAGAGAGAGAGAGAGCGAGCTCACAGAGCTCTGCCACTGAGGGTGCTGGGAGGTTGAAGGGTCCAATTTGAAAAGCTTTCCTAGCTCCTGAGTCCCTGGGCAGGTGTCCATCTCTCTGTTTCCCTGCATTTTACCCTCATCCGTCTGGAGGTTCCATGGTTGTCTTTTTTTTCTTTTTTGGTACCAGGATCTAGCTCAGGGCCTTGTACTTGCCCAGCAGGTGCACAACCCAAGCTACATCCATAGCCCACAGTGGTTGTCTTGCAGTCAGTCATGCTTTAAATTCAACGTGGAATTTAGGGCTGGTTGTGGGGCACTGGGCAGATGAGGCGTGGGGCAGAAGCAGAGGCAGGAGGGTCTCTCCTATGCCCAGACGGTCACTGTGGCTAACACTACACCCCACCCACCTGGGTCTCAGATGAGTTCCTCCCCAAGAGCCCATGGTGCCGCTCACTGCTGCGTGTGGATGCTGAACCCACAGGGCTGATGTGTCCCGTGCTGACCCAGTGGGACTCAGGGTGACAAATTGTGGGAAGAGAAAGGAGTCCCCGAAATGGGTCTTGGCTCTGCAAGGGCGACGATGGCAGACTCACTCGAGGAGCTGTCGCCTGGTGCTGCATGACCCGGGCAGGGGGACACTGGGTGTGCTAGGGAAGGAGAGAGCCAGGGCCCAGCATAAGCCCCACAGACACCGGACAGATGTGACCTCCCACAGCACGTGGCTCTCGTGGGGTCCCCATGCCCCAGGGAGATGCAGGGAGACCAAGGGCACAGTGACCCTTGGGGGTCCGTGTGTCCATGATGTGCCCTTGTCCACCCGTGGGGAGGTGAGGTCCGGGCAGACACCCGACGGTATGGGCTGCAGCCGGAAGTGAAGACTGCGGGTGTCGAGTGGGATGCAGGGACTCTGGGCCCGGGAGAGCAGAGCCTGAGTGCTGGAACCAGTGGTGAGAGGTCAGTGCAGGCCTGAGATGCCAGCAGAGGGATGGGGACTTCTTGGGGCCACCACTATGGGTCCTTCATCACCTGGGCACCTGCCGTGTGCCAGGCACAGTGTGGATGTGATCTAACTTGTTCCCCTTCTTCCCCATCTGGGCTGGGTGTCAGCAAGATCATTCCAGAACAGTAACATGCAGTATGGGGTACCCCAAACAACATGGGGTGCGGTACCTGGGGAGGCCACACTCGTGCAGCCCCTTTGAGGCCACTTCTGAACTGAGATCAGCATGGTGAGAAGAGAGCAGCACCCAGAGCCCAAGGACAGGCATTCCCCACAGAGGAGCTGAGGTGAAAAGGCCCTGGGGCAGGCACACACTGGAGGGATCCAGGGTACAGGAAAGCACTGAAGAGAGGTGCAGAGAGTGTGGGAAGAAACACACAGATAGGAGAAAAGGACATGGAGGAAAAGTGGGCACTATTTTGAAGAACTTCGAGAAAAGCAGAGACACTGCAGAGATACTGCTGACCACCCTGCAGTAACCACTGTGTGGTGGGGCTGTTTGTTACAGCAGCCACCGCAAAGTCAATCTAAAACTACAGACAGGTAATTTGCTAGTTTTCATCTTAATTTAACAAGGTTCGGGAACTCTGAGCAAGCAAACAGCAAAATACTTTCCATATTTTGTTTTTGCCAAAAACTTGCTTAGGGCACAAAAGACATTCTCCCCTTCACATTTGACTTTTTTTGCAGTTCTTTGTTTCAAAAATGATTTTTTGTTGTTGTTAAACACCATTTCCATGGGTTTCTTCTAATGCTTTGAAATTTAATTCATTGTCTTCCAGAGTTCAGAGCTAGGCCAGATTTAATGTCCTGGCTCAGCGGGTGCCCAGAATCTCCCCCTACTTCCCACGCCAGTCCCAGGGCCAGGAGGGCCAGCTCCACTTGGGAGCGATTTGCTGACACTGCTGAGGTCACTGCCACCGACAGCGCCGCCCCTGGAAGGTCCCCAGGCTGCTGCTCTTCCTGCCCCTGGGCTCCCACTCTTTCCTATGACTGTTTTTCTAGCTCACTTAGCTCAGTGACATGCGTGGGGAAGAATATCACCACGGGGAGTCGGTTTCTGCTCAAAATCCAAAGAAAAATAAGGGCAAAGGAAAAGAAAGGAGAAGAAGAAAAAGAAAGGGGGCGGGAAAGACTGGGAAATAACTGAATGCTCTTGTTCAACAAATACTTTCCCGGGGCTTCTGAAGGCACGAGGAAACTCTATAGCTGCAAAAACAAAGGTTCAGACTTAGTGTTTCGCACCTTGGCGGGTGGGGGTTTCTGGAGGTCCCTGCTCAGGGCCGGGCTCAGGTGAGAGCGCCCCAACTAAGACCCCAATAGGAGGGGAGGCCGGAAGGAGAGGTCTTTCTTGGGCCCACAGCGGGATCCTTCTCACCCTTCCCTCCCGTTGCTGACCTGCAAAAGCCTTTGGCCCCTTGTCTGATTGTTCCGCTCCACGCCTCCGTGAAGGTGTCTTCTCCACTAGGAGGCAACTCCGTGGGGGAAGGAGTTTGTGTGCAGCGCCTCTTACCCGCCCCCTCCCCCGGCACCCAGAGGAGCCGGGCCCTTAGTAGGTGCTCAGTAGGTGCCGGTCTAACTGCTTGAGTTAGAAGCGCGGGAGAAGCGACAGAAACATAACACCGCCGCGGTCATTCCGCAAGGCCAGAGCCCACCTCCCACGAGTTTCCTTATGGAAAAAGTTATATGTTTGCTTTTTCTTCCCTATAGGTTCACTGAATACAACTCTTGTGCAGAGCAGGGAATGAAAGAAGCAGGACGCGGAGAAAAGCACAGTGAGACAATTGTGAGGGGCAGCGGGCTGGGAACTCGGCCCCTCAGAGCCGCGCACGGCGCACCCCAAGCCCCACCACCGCCCCGCGTGGCGCCTGTGTCCAGTCTTCCCGGCTTGTTCGAATATCTTTTGGTCTCGGTTACAATTCACCTGGTAACGCTTGGCTCCAAATATTCCGACATCCCCTGCACTCTTTCTCCTGGCTCGGGGTCTTTCTGGTGGGGATCGGTGCGCTCCTGTAAAAGAAAAGGCCCGTACAGAACCCGGAGGCACAGCGCTTGAGACTTAATTTTTACTTATTTTTTTCTTTTGGTCAGGCCGGCCTTGAATTTTGGGACTACAGGCGTGCGGCCCTGACGCGCTGCAACCACTTTGCCTCCTTCCGCACTCCCAGGAGAAACGCGCGGTTGCAGAGCCCAGAACCCTCTGTGTGAAGAGGGACAGGCTCCCCACGGTGTCACGGTGAAGTCCCGGGGCCACTGCCCCCCGGAAATCGGGGCTCCCTGGGGCCTGGTTACGGCCTTTCTTGGGGTGAGCTCAGCAAGTCTCCCCACTGCACCGCACCCTGTCGGCCCCCACACCACCCGGCCTCACGAGGACTTTCCCACCAGCCTGGGCAACCCAGGGCCCGAGGAGGGTGCGGGGCGGCCAGGCAGGAGCCACGGCCTCGGCCAGATACTGCCCTCAGCTGTCTGTGATGCCTGCGGCTGCTGGCGGCCCTGGAGCCCACAAAGAGGCCACTGTCTTAGGAGCCACCTGACCCTGCTCCCTGAACCCGACACCTTCCAGATGTGCAGCGCACAGGCCCTGGACGCGCACTGAGCCGGCAGAGCCCGCCCGCCACCTTCCAGAAAGTTCTTCCCAACCCGCCCTGGCCCGAACCTCCACATCTCTAGTGCCAGAGAGAGGGAGGCCCCGCAGGAGTCAGGAGCTGGCTGCTCTGGTCCTGGGTGGGCTTGAGAAAAACCCGCGTGTCCCTGGCTGGCCCTGTGGGGACCACAGCCACCCCGGAGACTCCAGGGGCGACAGGCGGCCTCGGCAGCTCTGTGGAAACTGCTACCTCAGCTGTCCTGACGGAGAGGGGACCCAGATGTGCAGGGCCCTGCTCTGGAGGAGGAGGGACAGCAAGAGGGCAGGGATGGGGGAGGGGAGGGGAGGGGGACGCTGAGCCCCGTGGCAGCCTGGGCAAAGCAGAGGTCGTTGGCTTGGCTGGTGACAGCTGGGGAGGACCCTGTGGTCCGTGACCCCAGCAGCTGGAGATCCTGGACGGGGACACCACGGGAACAGATGTGTGGCTCTCATGCTGGGCTCAGACATGAGTCCCCAGCACCGACTCCCAGGCCATCCCGTCCAGCCCCGGGGACCCCAAGGAGCATCAGATGCCCTTGCGATCCTGAGTGTGGTGCAGCCTTCCATGCGCTCTGGGTGCAGAACTGAGCGCTGAGGCCCCGGGTGCCCCCAGAGCGGCCCATATGCTGGACAGGGTGCTCCGGGCCACAGCAGGTGCTGGAGACTCTGGTGGTGGAGGCCGGGGAGGGAGCAGAGGCAGGAGGCAGATGGTAGGGGCAACAGCAGTGGTAGACGCTGGGACTGAAACTGTAGGGCGGGGGCCGGTGCCCAGTGCACTGTGGTCTCTATCCCTTTACTTCTCAGGACTGGGGATCGAACCCAGGTGCCCTGAGACACTGAATTGCTTAGGCCGGGCTCAAACTTGGGACCTTCCTGACTCAGCCTCCCAGAATGTCATAGAAGAGAAGACACAAATGGAGACAGGGGAGCTACACCACAAGAGAGGCAGAGATGACTGCATCTTCTCTAAGGTGCCTCACAGGGAAGAGGGGTCCCGTGTCCCCCAAGACTGGATGATGACTTTAATTCTCCACCTGCCAGGACTTGAGCAGGTCTCTGTCCTCAGCAAGGTTGGGGCTGACAGAGAACTTGGAAAACTTCCCCCTGCCACCTGCTTATGCGACATGCTGGGATTCTGGGCATTTGTTCTGTTTCTGAGTGGTATGCGGTTTTCTTTCCACGATAATTTTTGGTTCTGTTGGCAACACCGTCTCTGCCAGGAATGTCTCTCACTGAGCCTCCTCTTCCCGATTTCCTTCCTCCCTTCCTTCTTTTCTGGTTCAGTACTAGGGCTTGAACCCAGGGCCTTTGCACTGCCCAACACCCTAAGCCCTTTTTACTTGTAATTTTAAGACAAGGTCACACTACACTGCCCAGGCTGGGCTCCAGCCTGTGCTCCTCCTGCCTCAGCCTCCCAGAGTGCTGGGTTTACAGGCATGGGCCACCACTCTCATCTACAGAGTCTGAGTTTTCAGTTGTGCACTGCTCTGATCAGCATAACATGTTCCCCGCCCCTTCAGGCCTGCCGGGGACGTGGGTCGCCCCTTTCCTGGCCTGGCCCATGAGCCTCTCCTCCGAAAAATGTTTTCAATACATAGGACAAAATACATAGATCTGCAAAGATTGCACTAAAACCCTCATCACCAAATAGATTTGGGATTTGTGCTCACACAGGCTTCTTTTCAGAGGAATTAAAGAACACATTTTCAGCAGGGTTTGGTGGCGCACACCTGTGATCCCAGCACTTTGGGAGGCTGAAGCAGGAAGATGGCAAGTTTAGCTTCAGCAAGACCCTCAAAATACAACAAAATAAGTTGAAAGGGCCGAGAATGTAGCTCAATGTCAAGGCCCTGGGTTCCATGCCCAGCCCCGCCAGCACACACACACGTGGACACAAATGCGCTCGCATGCTTCTATACCTTTGTGGCTCAATGTTACAGATGTCCAGTGCGGCTGTGACGTGACCCATGGCGCCCTGCATCTTCCTAGGAAGGAGCCTCAGGCCCTGCTCCCTGTGGCTGCTCCTTGCACCCAGCAGAAGGGAGTGCAGTGGATGCTGGAGGAGGGAGACAGCGGATTCTTCTGCCGAAGAGGCTCCTGAGCCTGAACAGGGGCTCAGGCCTCGCTCTTTGGGGCGGGGCCATGGGGACTCCAGACTGAGGGGTGGGGTCCCCTCCAGTCTACTCAGGAAACTGCCCACAGGCTCTGAGCCCAGACCACCGGGCAGCAGCCCCGCCTGACCCTCCCTGCAGGGAGAGAAGCCGGGGCCCCTCTGAACCCCTAAGAACACAGAAGCCAGGACTGGCCCTTCACTCTGGGCTGGGGTGCCCCGTGTGCCCACTCTCTGGGGCTGTGACTCTCCATCAGCAGGGAGAGGGGCCCCTAGGCTACCGTGAAGGGGCATCTTCGTGCCCTGTCCCCAGGGGTGTGAGGTGTCACTGTCACAGAAGCCCACCCGCTGCCTGGCCTGGTCAGATTCATCCTAGACACCAGCCTGTGATTTTTAAAAATTGAGGTGAGGGGCGGGGATTTAGCTCAGTGGTTCCGCCACCTGCCTTGCAAGTACAAGGACCTGAATTTGATCCCCAATACCAAAAAAAAAAAAATTGAGGTGAGATTCACATAGAATGAAATTAACGTGTTAGGGTGAAAAGTCTGTTTACAATGCTGGGCAGACGCCAGCTCTCTGGTCTGGAGCGTTTCTGTCCCCAAGCCTCCAACTCTCTGCGTGCAGCTCCACTTGGCCCTCAGAGACTTCGGTCCCGGTGACATTGGGCCTGACGCGGGGCTGTGCTGTGACCTCCTCCCAGCAGGCTGAGAAGCCCTCCACGAGCACGCGGGCCTCGGCAGGTCTGCGCCCCTGTTTCCGATTCTGAGGCGTGCAGGGCGGAAACGCCGAGTCACACGGCAGCTGTCACCGAAAGTCACAGCACCTGGGTCACTCTTCTCTTTTTCCTGCAGTGAGCAGGCCATGCGTGACCTGTGAGTCCAGCAGCCAAGCAGGGTGGGAAGAGAAGTCTGCAGGGTGAATGCGCAGATCTAGGGAGACAGCAGGGTCCCGGGCCAGGAAAGTGAGGCTGACTTGGCAGCAAAGTGAGCGGATGTGGAACATGTGTCACCTCAGCACGGCCCCAGATGATCTGCTCATGGTCTCGCTGTGGAAGTCCCTGGAGGGACGGACATCCAGTCTGGGACTACTTGGTGCTGTCAGAAAAATGCGTCCCAGTGAGCCGGGCGTGCTGGCACACACCTTCAATCCCAGCACTCCAGAGGCTGAGGCAGGAGGGTCACAGGGATTTTGAAGCCAGCCTGGACTACACAGTGAGTTCAAGGACAGCCTGAATTACACGGGGAAACCCTGTCTCAAAACAAAACAAAATACTACACCACAGGGCCAGGGATTTAGCTCAGTGGTGGCGCTGCCTGCCTTGCAAGCGCAAGGTCCCAAGTTCTATCCCCAATACCAAAAAAAAGTCAAAATTCTACACCACAAATCCTTGTTGAGTTATTCTTTGATAATTTTAAATTTAGTGCATTTTTGTAATTAGAGTCTGATATGTATGCACTTAGAATCTTGGTAATTTTTTTTCAATATAAAGTCCTAGCAAAAATCTCCTTCCCCAACAATTCTCTACAGAACTGGGTCCCTTAGCCAGGGATGGTGGCACATACCTGTAATCTCAGCTCTCTGGGAGGCTGAAGCAGGAGGAACTTAGTGACTTACTGAGAGCTTGTCTCAATATTTTAAAAAAGGCTTCCTAAGGGCTGGGATTACAGGTGTGCTCTACCACACCTGCCTCAATTTTCCACCTTTATAACTCTGTCTCCCAGGGCTGGGAGGTGGAACCTGTCTGACTCTACCCCCAGCCCTCTGTACCTCGCTTTCCAGTGCACTGGGGCTCTGGCTCCTGGGTTCTTGGAGTCGGGCTTCTTTCCAGGAACAGTGCAGAGAGAGAGCGAGCGAGGGGAACTCAGGCTGCTAAGGGGAGGGACGGAGACACACTCTGTGTCATGGGCCGCTCTCAAGGCAGAAGGGGTGCAAGGCAGGGTGTGGAGCTGCTGGTGTACTGTGGACCGGGGAGTTCAGTTCTCACCCCCAAGGTGAGCTTGGGTCTGAGCCTGAAATGCTATCACCAAATGTGTGTCAGTGTCGCCCTGTGTGGAGAGAAAGACGCAACGCCCAGTGTGGTGGTGCGCACCTGTGATCCCAGCCCTCAGGAGGCTGAGACAGGAGGATCTCCACAAGTCTCGAAATGGCTTTCCTGAATATTAAGCTCTTTGGCCATGAGAAAGCCAGGTGAAGGTGAGGGCCATGGCTGGAGCTAAGATGACTGAGAAGCTGGGTGCTTCCACTCAGGTGTCTGCGTCCCCCGGGATCCCCCAAACCTCCACCCGTGTGGAGGTGTGATCACCCTCGTTGCTCCTCGCCCTCCCCAGCCTGGCTGGTCATCAGTCACTGTTCCTGAGGGCCGGCCTGCTGCGGGTCGTGTCATTACCCAGCGGCTCACCGTGAGCCCTTTCAAAGCGAGCTGGAAGGCATTCATCAGAGGGAGGCTGGGGCAGATTCTCAGTAAATATAACTCAGCTTCCCTTGCTTCCTCCACCCCAGCCATTAAGTCTATAAAAGCCAGAGGAGCCGGGTTTTTCAGCCACTGCTCTCAGGTGGCTGGGGCCGAAGGGTGCTGGGTCTGTCCCAGGAAATCAGTGCACTATGGTGGCAGCCCTGGGTTGTGGCCTCGGTGATTTACCATCTCACCAAGGGCTGGAGCAGAGCAGCTTCTTCCTTAATCAGGGCGGGAATGCGGCCAGAAGCCCTCAAACCACAGGCAAATCGGTGAATTGGCAGCTGGAACTCTGGAGAGAAAATAGACGCCACTTTTCCCATCTTATTATCTTTTGGGAAAATTTCTCTCTAAATAAGAGCTCAGATGATCAAAAAGACTGAGAGGTGAAGCCAACAAAAAGCCACAGCTGGGCATGATGGCGCATGCCTATAATCCCAGAACTCGGGAGGCTGAGGCAGGAGGATGGCTGTGAGTTCAAGACCAGCCTGGGCTACACAGTGACAGGACAGCCTCAACTACATAGTGAGACCCTGTCTCAAAACAACAACAACAAAAGCCACACATCCTCTGCCTGGGTGAGGAAAGAAAATATCACAAAAGGAACCAGAGAGCCTGGGGTCCCAGCTGAGTCGTGTTTACCCTGAATTTGGTGCTAATTATTCCTTTGCCTTGCCTTACACAGCTGAGCTAGGAAAATCCCCCTTAGCACCAGCACTGCACACACAGGAAGTCTCACTGTGTCTGCTCTCTAATTCCCTTCGATCTTAGAATTTCTAAATCATCCACATTGATGCAAGGACTCCAGCTTGCCCACATCTCTCTTTCTTCCCTTTTTTCACATTTTTGAGACAGGGTCTTGCTATGCTATGTAGTTGAGACTGATTTTTGAACTCACTATGTAGACCAGCCTGGCTCAGAACTCAGCAATCTTCCTGTCTCAGCCTCCAGAGTGCTGGTGTTATAGGTGTGCACCACCATGGCTGGCCTGTCCACTTTTATTATCCCTTAAATATACACTGAGCAATTTATTTGTCTGTTCTCCTGCGGATGGGCAGAGTCTGGTTTCCATTCTGACTTTTTTTTTTCTTGCGATACCGGGGATCAAACTCAGGACCTTGCACTTGTGAGGCAGGCGCGGTACTCCTGAGCTAAATGCCGGGCCCTCCATTCTGCCTTCTTTTATCACGAATAACGCGGTGGCTGCCAGTCCCCTGGCTGTCACCTTGTTCTCCAGGGTATTATTTTTCAAAATGAGGGTCTCAAACCCTTCACAAAGGTGGGAATCATGTAGTAAACCAGGCCTAGCGTTTAAACTCCTCCTCATCACCCGGAAGCACAAAGCTTGCTAATGATCTCAGAAACAGATCCTGCTGCCTGGGGGAAATTACCAGGCAGTTTAAGAGACCAGGAAATCCATCCCTGGCTATTAGTCAAGCAAGAGTCCTTGATGTCAGGGCTCTGGAGAGGACTGCTGGGTCCCAGAGACAATTCCACCTCTCTGCCGGGAGACAGAGGGCCAGGGAAAGGGGACACAGGGACAGCCCTGTGTTATCCCCACCTACCTTGACTTCCAGGAGAGGCCGTTTGAAGACTCAGCCCAGGCAACTTAATTTCCTGCTTCACAACATCACAAGATTGGTCAGTGGAATATAACAGAAGCCAAAAGAACTTCCAGAATGCAACCCTAAATTACTGAACAAACATGGAAAAGGGGACACTTCTCTCTTTGTCATCTTCTTGTCACTGAGAGGAAAAACCTGACACCCGTAACTTGGAGGAGGAGCGGTTTATCCCATTATTGGCTGCTCCAAGGTGTGGCAGAGGGGCCTGGCGGAGCAAAGCTCCTCGAAGCATGCGGAGCAGGAAGTTGAATGCGAAGGAGGAGCTGGGGGAGGGAGATGACCCCTCCCTGGCCATGCCCACAGACACGCCCCTTCCCGGCAGGCCCTGCCCATGGACTCGCCCCCTCCGCTAGGCTGTACCCCCCAAAAACACCCCTTCCCCTCCTCACCCCACCCCCAGCACCAACTTAGCCCTGAACTCCTGGGTGGGTGAACCCACTTGCTGACTGGATTTGGTCCAAGAACAGATGTTGCCAGCCCAGAATGAATTTCCTTTTCAGCTTTTGCCTGTTTCCCCTGGGGACTTGGTGCTGGGTGCCCTCTTACCATGCTGTTCTTTACAAAATCCATTAAGGACTCACTGTAGAAATAAAAAAGCCGTCCGAGGGGTTCACTGAAAGAGCAATTCCCTATCACTCCCTGAAGTGGAAAGCCAGGATTTCAGGCTAGCAATAAACCACCATGAAAGCAAATTTGATGAAAACAAGGTGGTGAATTCTCACAGACCTGTGGTCTGAACCTAACCGTTCTTGTGAAAAAGAGGAGTTTGTGGGAGGTCCTGCAGGGTCGCAGGGACTCCTGCAGGGTGTGTTCTGCTGCTTGCGTGATCAGTGCAGGGGATGGGAGGGAATCGCTGTCCGGGCCGAAGCCACAGCCTCTCCGGGGTGGGGACGACGTCCCCTGGGCAGTGAGCTGGGCCCCAGGGCCTTGCCGTCCTCCATCCACCACAGAGGCCGCAAAGCAGGCCTTCCTGGCGCCTGAGCGATCCTAAAAGGCGGGCGTGATTCACCCAGCCGCGCCCCAGCCGGCAGCGGGC